GTGCCATGTTGCTTTGTCACACATTTTCCACAACATCTCATCAATGATGGATCTCTGGTTGTTGGGAACTATTTACCATTTAAAAAGAGCAAATAACTAAAACATGTCTTAATTTACTCTTTGAGCATCTTGGTAATTTAAGCTTATTACTTATTACTGATGTGACTTTAGATTATTATTAAAACTGCTATATGAAAAACAATCAGGCAAGGAAACAGAAACCTGATGCAATTTAACCTGTCAGTGACAGGCTCAGAGATAAACCATGCATACATAAAACTTTTGTTAAAAATTGCATGTATTCACTATTTATTAGTACTTCTGATATTTTCGAATTATTTCAACCAGTAAGACACATGATATGTAATTTCAGGTAACAGTGTCTTTCTGGAAGCAAAGATGAATCTTAAAAAAGGAATGAAGAATAAATTCACTTTGACGTCTGAAGGTAATGGTGATTATCGCAGCTCCCTCAAAAGCATCTACACAACCCTGTTCATCACCACTGGAGATAATGATGGACGAAATCAGGAACATGAGTTCAGACAGCTAAGAAATGCTCATCCAGACCAACCGCTGAGTGACTCTACTGTCAACCTGAGTGAGCTCTTCCAATCGGTGCCTGACCAGGACAAACCCAGCAGAACAGTCCTGACAAAGGGAGTCGCAGGCATTGGAAAATCCTTTGCTGTTCAGAAGTTCATCCTTGATTGGGCTGAAGAGGAAACAAACCAACAGATTGATTTTGTTTTCAGTCTTCCTTTCCGAGAGTTGAATTTGATTGTAGGAGAGAAAAGCCTCCATGAGCTGCTGACTGAGTTTCATCCGTCTCTCAGACCACTGAAAGATTCCCAAGATTACTCCAAAACAAAGATCATAGTGATCCTGGATGGCTTGGATGAAAACAGACATCAGTTGGACTTTCAGGAATCAGCCAAAGTGACTTCTCTTGATGATGTAGCTTCTGTAGGTGATCTTGTTGTAAACCTGATCCAGGGTAACCTCCTTCCTGACGCTAACGTCTGGATAACGTCCCGACCAGCAGCAGCCAGTCAGATCCCTGCAGAGCACATCGACATGGTGACAGAGATCAGAGGGTTCAGTGATGGTCAGAAAGTGGAATATTTCAGAAAGAGATTTGGTGATGACTCCAGTCTAACTGACAGGATAATATCACATATTCACTCTTCACAATCCCTGGACATCATGTGCCAGATCCCGATATTCTGTTGGATTTCTGCTGTCTTATTCCAGGAAGTCTTCAGCAGAAATGAAGAGACAGAAATCCCTCAGACTCTTACAGAGTTAATGGCACATTTTGTCTTTGCTCAGACAAAACGTAGAAGCAGGAAGTATGACAGGAACCCTGAGAAAAACAGAGAGAAGCTCCTGAAGACTCACAGAGAATTTCTTCTGAAACTTGGGAAACTTGCGTTTGTCCAGCTTCAAGAAAACCAACTCATCTTCTATGAGAAAGATCTGGAAGACTGTGGCATTGATGTAGGAGAAGCAACAATATACTCTGGTTTATGTAACACTGTTCTCCAGGAAGAGGAGGTCTCCTCCCAGAAAAAGATCTTCTTCTTTGTGCATCTGACTCTTCAAGAGTTCTTTGCAGCTCTGCACGTCTATGAATGCTTGAAGACCAAGAAAACCAATGAACTTGGCAAGTTCCTCTCTGTGGAAGACGAAGACGTTCCTTTACTTGATCTTCTAAAGATGACAATCGACAAAGTGTTGGAGAAGAAGAACGGTTACTTAGACTTTTTCTTGCGATTCCTGCTTGGCCTGATGGTTGAACCCAATCAGAGATTCCTTCAGGGTCTGTTGACTCCCCTTGACGAATGGGACGACACAGACAAGAAAATCCTAACTTACCTGAGATCAATTAGAAGAAAAAACATCTCTCCAGACAGCTGCATCACCATCTTCCAGACCATGACTGAAATGAGAGATCACAAAGTCAAAGATGAGATTCAGGAATTTCTCAAACTGTCTGATCATTCAAAAATGGAGCTGGCTCCTTTGCACTGCTCTGCTTTGGCCTACATGCTGCAGGCCTCCAAGAATGATCTGGATTTACTAGATCTGAAGAGCTACAACACATCATATGATGGCAGAAGGAGGTTGATACCAGCTGTTAGGAGCAGCAAAAGAGCTGTGTAAGTATGCTTTGCAATCTTCTTCAGTTTCTCTATTTATGCCAGGGTGACCAAGTCCAGTCCTCCAGGGCCACCATCCTGCAGCATTTGGATACGATCCTTATCCAACAGAGAGAACAAACCTCCTTCAACAGGATAAATCCCATCATCAGAATCAAGTCTTTAAGCTCTGCAGAGGCTTGGTAATGGGCCAATTATTTGATGGATAGTAGCCCTTGAGGACTGGACCTGGCCTCTTCAGTTTACAATATTCTTGATATGTTTGTCTGATAAATCCTGGTTTTATAGGCCATAGAGCTACCATTGTCCAATAGAATTAGAACTGAAGGGGGCCAGGAATGGGTCAGTTGTTGTCACTCAGTGTTTATCTCATACCTCATAAGAGATATATTTGACAAAACATGGATTAAGAGTTGACATACTTGCTCATTTCTCATTTCCTTTATTGGAGTCTGTAGGCTTTTTATGTTTTTATTTATGCATTAAAGATATATAAATCCTATTTATCTTGTGATGCTTTTCCTTAGGCTTGCAAATTGCAAAGTTACGATGGGTTGGATGGAGCCTCTGGCCATTGCCCTCAAATTTTCTTACTCAGCTCTGAGCGATCTCGACCTGAGCAACAATGACCTGAAGGATTCAGGAGTGGAGGTGCTTTGTGGAGGACTCTCGAGTAACTCCTGCAAACTGGAAATACTAAGGTAACAGCATGTGAGGTACCATTAACAACATGGTAATTCATATGATAGAACAGCCTCTAGTCTGGTCTAAAAAATCCCCTCTGACAAAAGATATTTGATACCCAGAAGCAATAGTTTGACTTGGAAACAATGTGGCCTGTGTGGAACTCAACAATTGTTATGAAAATTATTTGATTTGCATGAGCATATGAGCATCTGCTCCATATGCTCATGTCTAGCATGAGCATATGGAGAACCAAGTTATCTACTACTGATGCATTGTGCACCAAGTTATTTCAGAGTCCTATGACAACACTGCCTGAAATCCAGACACAAATATTGGACTCCACGATCCAGTATTATCAAATATTGGATCATGGAGTGAACCTGTGGAACTCACATCAGCAGAGATTGATCTGTTTGAAGCAACATTAAACCTCGGCATGAATACCATGAGGTACCATGATGATAATCATGTTAGGACATAACTGTCAACCAGTCAATGTCAATCCTCCCTGCATGACTATGGACTTCCAGGTCACCCAATACTTTCTCAGTCAGCCATGTTTGGGATCAAACTGGGGCTCAGCTCCAATCCAGAGCAGATCTGATGTGTGTTGAGAGTCAGTTACAAAGCTGGGATGATTAGCCAGAGAAAATAATAAAACTCGTAAGATACTGCTAGTATCCATGTCAAAGGGATCATCACACTCACTGATCACCACTTTGCTTGTTCTGCCAACTTCATCATCCATGTGACCATTTGACTCAATCTTCATGTTTATTCCTCTTTTCCGACTATTTTCCTAGGATGTCTGGTTGTTGGGTCACAGAGACAGGTTGTGATCATCTGGTCTCGGCTCTTCAGTCCAACCCGTCACATTTGATGGAGCTGGACCTGAGTTACAACCATCCAGGAGACTCTGGAGGCAAGAAGCTCTCTAAGCTGAGTGATGATCCACAATACAAGCTCACAAAGCTCAAGTAATTAAACAGTCTGTAGGAAAACTGAACTAAAACATTCAATTGGGTATCAATAACCTTAATTCTGTGTACTTTTTGTTTCTACAGCCTCGACTATGGAGGGACTCACAGATTGAAGCCTGGCTTTAGGAAATGTATGTCACTTGTACATCAATGCATTTTTTGTCTCATGACTTTAGAAGTTTGTGTTGTAATAATTTATTATTTTCTCCAGATGCCTGTGAACTCACATTCAGTCCTGATGCAGAACAGCAGCAGCTGGTTCTGTCTGAAGGAAACAGAAAGGTGACCAGGGTGGAGGATGAAACCTCAGGCCACCACCAGCAGGTGCTCTGCAGTCAGGGCCTGATAGGGCGCCACTACTGGGAGGTGGAGGTCTCCGGGTCTTTGAGCATCGGGGTGGCACATGAGGCAGCCCTAAGAAAAGACAAAACGGGGGATTTCAGAATGGGGCGCAATAAGGATTCTTGGTGTTTGGTTTGTTCAGATGGTTTTCATGTTTTGCACCACAATGACAGTGTAGATGTGTCTTCCCTTGGAAGGCGCACCAGTCGGTTGGGGGTGTACCTTGACTGGCCTGCTGGTACTCTGTCCTTCTACAGAGTTTCCTCTGACAGTTTGATCCATCTTCATACTTACACTGTGACTTTTAGTGAGCCTCTGTATCCTGCAGTTGAACTTAATGCCCAATCATCGGCTCGATTTTGTATTTTGTAACTTAATTGGGTCCTTCTCACATGTATACAGTGCTGATGATGGATTCATTTGTTCTAGTTATTTATGTCACACTTAATGCCCCAACATACTCGGGTGAACTTCACTCCTGGAGGTCCGTGAATATTCAAGACGGACTTGACACTTGAAGCGGACGTCTGTCGGACACGTTTGCAGAAAGACGCTGTTTTAATGACAGCGTTCTCAGTGTCGCACAGTAATTTGATCGACGGTAAACAAAGCTGACATCGAACTGGGCTGATTAGGTTGAGAGTCAGTGCTCACAGTCATAAGGATGTGCAGCATGACTGTCACTCTCTGTCTCACACTAAAAACTGTTAAGGCTTCCCTGATGGACAAGAAACAGGGCAAGGCACCCAACTAGCTCATCAAACTTAATATCATCCCTTAGGATTATAGGCAATAAATAAATTTCTCACAAGAGTACTTGATGCAATTGGTGCAGATGAAGTGGATGTATGAAGTCTCAACCATCTGCAATGATTGATCAAGTTCACTTCATGTCTGTCTGCAATGGAGTCCGCACAGTACACCAGAGTATGTTGGGACCTTAAAATCTTTAAAACCATCAAACAAATCTTAAATTTGTCACATTATCATCCAGATTTAAATTTAAAATTTCACTGAGTCAATTCAAAACCTTAATTTACCGTACTTTTCGGACTATAAGCTGCTACTTTTTTCCTAAACTTTGTGGCTTACAGCCTGGTCCATCTTTTCTGTGTATTTTTCTTCAACCACCAGGAGGCTCTTTAGCAGGAAGTGAATCATTCGTAGTCAAAATTGGATATCAAAGAAGAACGCGCTAATTTTCATTCAGAACAAGCACATGCTAGCAGCAGGCACGACGGAGAAATGTTTTCAAACTCATGATGCAGCTTTTAAGTTGAGGGCTGTCGATCTGGCAGTACAGGAGGGAAATAAAGCCACTGCACTGTAAGCTCGGTGTGAACGAAACCATGGTTCGGCTTGGAGACGGAGAGCTGCATCCTTAATACATCCAGCAGATTTATTAGGACGCAGCCCTCTGCTGCCCTCTGCTGGGTCCTTATGGAAAACCGAGAGCAGCGGAGATACCAGCGGCTTATAGCCCGGAGCGCTCTATAGTCAGGAAAATACGGTATTTATGTTTTAGCTGTTCAGAGGTGGATTTGTTGGTGGGCTTTGAGATATTGCTACCCAAGTGCACTCTGCTTAAGGTGGCAAACTGATGCACCTTCCATCAATTACAGCAATTAGTCCTTGTCCTGAAGGGTTAAAGCAGGCCCAGACCATCATACTACCCCCACCATATTTGCCTCTCTTCTCTTACCGTATGCAGGTTTACACCAGATGTATTGGTACACAAAGCATCCAGAAAGTTCTGCTTTGGCTTTCCAGTCATTTAAACATCTCAATCATTTGATCATCATCAAGATGTATTTTGGGAAAATGTGAAATGGCTACTTGTAAAATGTTTAGTTTGCAAAGTCTCCCTTATGCTTAAGTCAAGTCCTCTGACTTTAATTGAGGCAAGTGAACCCTGCAGTGCTTTAGGTGTTATTCTGAGTTATTTTGTAAACTCCTTATTCTTTATGTGTGGTTTATGTTGTGATACAGGTTCTAAGTGATTTATTTACACCAGGTTATAATTAGGCCTAAATGTGATTTGTGAAACTAAGCCAAAAAACTTTGGTTAATCAAGTTCATTTCATGTTTTAATAAGGGGATAACAGCTGGGGGAGTTGGTTTGGATAACTTTTAGCATTGTTTCTTCAAGTTTTCACTTTGGCAGTTAAAGCCTCATACAAACACATCCTACACTATGAATGTGTGTTAAATTGGAACAAAGTTTACAATTTCTTCCTAGGAATTACATTGGTGCTTCATTTTTGTTATTAGCAAGAACATTTTTATTGTCAGTCATGTTTATTTTACTGGTTTTACATTTTTTATCTATTTGGTTGTGAAGTGATTTTTGATTTCATATTATTTTTGCTTTCACTGTGGTTGGAGTTCATTGAATTTAACAGATAAAATTATAAAACTGGAACGTAAACAAACATAAACTTTGCTCAGCAAATTTATTCCTAAATTTCAGAAAATTGAAAAGATCCAAAACTGAGAGGTATTGAAGATGCAGCATATCTTCATAGCAGCTGGATAAATGTTTGTGATCACAATATTTGCATGTAACATTTTCATGTCAGTTTTAGTGAAAAAGTGTCATACCATGATGTGTTAACTTTATTTGAATAGCAAGAAGACAATTTAATTATAAAACTTTTATGAAATGTCTGCCTCATACCTGAATGGGAAGTGTGTATTTTTTTTAATTTGTCCTCGTGACTTGGTGCTTTAGCTCAGAGAAGCTCAGATCTCTGTTTCATTACAAACCAAAAGGTGTTTTGTTTTGTTCAGCATTTGACCAAATAACTGTTCCTTCTTGAAATAAGTCAAACTTAAAGGAACAATCTGTATCACCTCATTCATTTTCTACTGTTGTGTGATTTATAAAACATTTGTGAAGTCTCTGTGTTTCTGATTGTTTACCTTAATGTCACTCATTTTTCATTTTACATTCAGATGAATTTTCAAAGTTACAAAACAGCTTAAAGAAATAAACTAAGATTTACTAGTCAAGTACATTAATATCACAAGTATTTTCAAAAAATAAAATTACATCTTGGTAAAAAAATAAGTGAGGATATGAAATTAATGATGAAGATAAAGTCTGTCAAATCCCTTCTGTTTATGTTTTTACATTGGTAATTGCCATATGTTCAATAAATATCTTTAGATGAATCCAGAATGTGGAGGATTTATTAATATTTATCCAGTTTTCCAGACATAAACCATGAGACCCAGTGTTTTCTGATCGGTTACCTTAATTACAACAAAACTGTAAAGTAATTTAGATTCTAGGAGTTTGATTTACCTGCTGATCATTTAATCTGAAATTTGAAGTGTGACCTTCTTCTTCTTTATTACTAATCTGTTTAATTGCTTTGTACTCAGTTTGCACCAAATCTGAAGACCAATCCCTCATGACATCATCCATAAACGTGTTTCCTGGTTTATATTTTATTAAAGGCTGTTTTCTCTTTGGAACATCATTGTTTGTGCACCTTGTCATTAAAGCTTCAGTGGTTTCAGGGTGTGTCCTTTCTTTCCACCTCGGGCCCCAGCTGTCAACCCGCCCCCATCAGATCAGGGTGGGGCCTCGGCCTTCATCTAGGATAATAACAAAGAAAAATGTCCCAGAAAAAAAGAGATAAATGAGACAAAAGAAGCAGGTGTGATCCAGACCCAGCAGCATAATGAAACTAAACGACCAGGTGAAGCTGATTTGATTTGTTCAAAAGGGACGAATATAAATGGAGACTTTAGAGGAGAAAAATGTGTTCTACTTTGTTTTTGCATTTATTTAATAAATAATGACACAATGGAATCAGGTTTAAATGATTTATGAAACTTTTAAAGATCAAGATGTTTATATTTTAAAACCTCAGAAAAAAGAGGGTGTACTTTATTTATATAACTTCTATTTTAACTGCAGTAACAAATCTTATGAGCAAATAACAGAGTTGCTCCTGACTTCATAACAGCAGAAGTTATCACACCTCCACTTTAATGCCTTAATTTACCATTTAATATAACAGAAATATTTATGACTCATTTTTTAGCTTTTACTTCTGATTATTTCTATTTAGCTTTAATGAACTCATAGTTGTATTATACAGTAAATCATGTTGGTGGTTTGCTAATAGTTATAAGTCAACTCTGATGTTTCCAACAAATAAAATATGATTTTTTAAATTAAAGTTGTAGAAATTAACATCAGAGAGGTGAAAAAAAGATTTGGAAAGAAATATCTGCATCAAATTATGTTAAATAATATTTACAACATAGTTAAGATGTAAACTTGAAAACACACACACACACACACACACACACACACACACACACACACACACACACGCACGCACACACACAGAGAGAGGAATATAAAACCCTAATGCGAAAATTACAAATAACTAAATATCCATTTCTTAAATGCTAAAGCCAATAGAAAAAAGAAATAAATGAAAGACCCTATTTGAAAGACTGATAATAAAATAATTAATAATAAATAAAGTTAATTCCAAATTGTTACAGCTAATATGAAAAACTAAATAAATACAAGACCATACATAAAGTAGTAAATAAAGTACTTTATGTACTTTAACAGTAACAGTAAGGTGTAATGTAATTTAATTTACTGAATTCTGATTTTTTTTTATTAAACTGTTATACAAACATTTTTCTTCTTTTGTAAATAAATACAGAAGTTAGTTTTTTTTAGATGTGTCTCCATCTTTAAGAAAAGGAATAAATATTTCCCCCTATTACTGGAATGCATTAATAGATAATAGATAGAAAAATGTTAATTTAGCCCAATTTAAACTATAATTGACTTTATAATTAAAATCACTTTAATTGAATACACGCTTTATTATGTCTTTAACTTGCGTACACCAGCAGGGGGAGCTGTTACACTAAAATGCTACTGTTCTAAATCCTTTTGTCTTCTGGTTAAACTATTTTATTTCTACTAAGAATTGCGGTTTTTTAAAAGAAGAATGAAAGATAAAAATAGAAGTGAGTATTAACTTAATGTTAAACGGACAAATAACTGAAGTAAACATTAAATTTGATTTGCTGATGTAATATTGAAAGGTTTATTTACTGTATTAAAATTTAGTGGTGTTGCTCAATATATACCTGCATTTAAAGTGATTATTAATTAAAAGAAGAATCAGACAAAGGAGAGAAAGGCGAGAGACGGTAGAGAGAGATAGACAATGGGACCGGAGAGGGAGGGAGGAGGGACGTTTGTTCACGTTCAGCCGCGGAGAGGACGGGGAGGGCGGGGTGGATCCAGCCGGTGTCTCCTCTCTGCTGCAGCGGCCATGCTGCTGTCCGCCGCCTCGCTCCGCGCATCCCGCTCCTCCGCAGGTGAAACCGGCCGCCGCTGCATCTCCGCGACCCGGGTTGACTCGCAGGCCCGGCGCGGCTAGGCTCGGCCGCAGCGGTTCGCCCGAACTGGGTCCGCCGGAACGGTCCGGAACGCGGCGGCGGTGAGAAGGGGGGAGGAAGAGGAGAAAGGCTCCTTAGCAACAAACCGGTTTCACGGCATTATTGGTAGGTACCTCCTCTGTCTGTCTGTCAGCAGCTTAGCAGCAGCAGCGGGTCGGATTGATGGATCAAGTCAATGAAATGAAGAGAGAGACAAACTGTACTCAGGTTTTATAATCATCTCAGCATTTTGTTCTTGATTTAAATGGATTTTCCCAACAGGATGTCCTCCTGAACCGTGGACAAACCAACCCATTTTTACCCAACTGTTCTTTTTAAAAATCAACAGATTAAATATCATGTCGTGGTAATATTTAGCAGAGAAAAACCCAACATGATTTTGGGGGAATCTGTATTGCCAGTTCAAATCATCTGATTGTCTTTTTCTTTTCTTTTTTTCCAGGGATGGACGGGACACTGAGGATTAAACTTTGACCTGAGCCAAAAAGCCCCAAAATGGACTGGATCAGAGTGATAATGGTTTATTGATTTGGGTTTAAAGCAGGACTAGTTTCACTTGGTTTGTTCGAAAGCCAGACAACTGAGGTTATGGTTGGGTCAGTGAGACTGCAGTGAATTAGCCTCAGGGATTGAATATAGGAGGCCTAAGATGACTGGCAGGTCTTCTTAGTGTTCATCTAGAACTCTGAGGTTCTTGATTGGCCCAACAACAATATATCTAAATTCTTAGTTTAGCATTTTTAAGGTCCACTTTGGTAGCGAACCACTGGATTTACACTAACCCTGATGTGAAGACAAATTCCTGAACTCCACTGAACCAGAACTGGTGACATTAGATCACAACTGGATTTTGTCAAACTTGATACTGTTTGAGGACCAAAGGTGACTGGTTTGAATGGGAATAGAAGGCCTCTTGAACTGGTTTTGGACCACTTGATCAATAATTGACTCATTTTGGTGTATTGGAATATGAATCTTAAATCGGATGAACTCTGAGTGCAACTGTAACCTCATTCGCCATGTCTCTCAGTAAGACCCTTGAGTTGGAGCATTTCGACGAACGTAACAAGGTCCGCCGGGGTCGCTCCACCCGACCCAAACGGGATGACTCCACCGGCAGCGGTGGGGGGTCCGGCCCCAGTTCCAGGGGCAGCAGCCTGGTTCCCAGTCCTGCCCACAGCGCCAACTGTAGCTACTACCGGACCCGCACCCTGCAGGCCCTCACCTCAGAGAAGCGGGCCAAGAAGGTCCGGTTCTACCGCAACGGGGATCGGTACTTCAAGGGCCTGGTGTACGCCGTTTCTAGTGACCGGTTCCGGTCGTACGACGCGCTGCTGATGGAACTTACTCGGTCGTTAGCAGACAACCTTCATCTGCCGCAAGGAGTTCGTACAATCTACACCATAGATGGCAACAAGAAGATCACCAGTATGGACGAACTGGTGGAAGGTAAGACTAATCCTCCTGTAGTGAAGGATTGGGTTTCTGATATTTCAGCTAAGGCTAAGTAGGGTAAGCTGAAGGTATTCATCTTGATTTCTGCTTAGTGTGAATGATACTTAGGATTATGATGACAGTATTGGCTCATTTCAAAATGTCACAATGTTTCCATCATCGTCTGAAGGACTTGAGGGGCTTCAGGCGTTTTTTATAAGACTGGACAATATGGCCGAAGAACAGATCAATCTTGATATCACGTTTTTATATCAGTCAAAATGGATAATTATTGATTTTTTGTTGTTGTTGTTGTTTGTTTAAATTTCTGAAATACTGCCAAACTGGTTACATGACCATTCCTGTTTTTTCCAGTTTCCTCTCAAGCAGTTTTAGTCTTTCAGGTTTCTCTCGTCTCGCCGTTGATTTTTATTTTTACGCAGTTATGAGACGCAAAACCTGAATCTTATGCTGCGCAAGTTATTGAACAGGTTGTTGCTAGGTAACCAAAGAATGAGTGGGTTGCTAGGTAACCAAAGAGCAAAAGGTTGAGCTGTTAAAGCCTTTTCTCTGCCTACATCCCCCAGAATGCTATGCGGTTCTGGTTCAAAGTTAGTGAAATTATTGAACGTTGTATCGAACATATTATCTATTGATATTGATCACATGTCTGTTGTGATATTATTGATTTATTGCCCAACACTAATTTATTATTAGCCTGTAGAATCCAAATGCAGTGGCAGTACGTGGTGATGCATCTTCTTCTATTTGATCGGTTTTGCTCATCAGTTTTTAGTCTAACATCATTTAAATGTTTTTAAATGCATCATAACCACTAAGTCTGATTAGGGAAAGGCTACAATTTTGTAAATTGTTTAATTAGGAGGCATAATTTTAGCAGAACTATTCATCATTTCAAAAACCAAAAATTTGATTAATCAGTAAAATCAATCTATTGACCATCGCTAAACTGTTAGGTAGAGTCAGTCAGAAAGTGGTGCATGTAAGTGCAGCCTTGGGCAACATGGTGCAACGTGTTACTGATACCTGGAAGCAACATATCCGGTGCTCAGACTCATGAACTGAGACATCAGTACCAGAGTCTGGTTGGACCTGCAGCTTTTAAACAGCCGCAGTGAAAACTTAGACGTTCAACCAATACAAATAGTAAAGGTAGAGTTCTTTGTTTCCACCAGTGTAAGAACAGAGCTTTGAAAGATTTTAAAAATGCTTTTCAAACAGACTTTGTAAGAACCAAACCAAAAGTTAAGCCTCCAGGTTCCAGTCAGTTCTGTTTGTGTGCTAAACATCTGCAGGGAATCTTAAAGACGGCAGGAATGTTGATCGTTAGCATTTTTGCACCATGAGTGAAAAGCATTGTGATATCTGCAATGACTTCACCTTTAACCCCAAAAGTAACACATGGTTTTCATTTAATAATGTAGGAACACGGGAAAATTTAGATTTATCTAAAGTTAAAGGTGAGAGGAAGCATGTTTACACTGACTGAAAGCTACAGTGTACAGCTTAAGAGAAAATCTACTGTACAGTTATTAAATTTTGCTTAAATTGTCAAGGTGGTGATGTGGACTTTGAATTTTATTGCAATATTTTGTGGCAATAAAAATGCTATTTATGGCTTATATTTAAGTAACTGTGTGGCTTGAATTCAGTAGCGCCCTAAACACAAATACTCAAAATGTCATTTATGTCACTAAACTGCATTTTTTTAACTGCATTTACTCATATTTTTAAAGAAAATGTAGAAGATATGAATATTTGTGCTTAAAAACAGTAACAGACTATTAAAACAAACCAAAGCAGGTGGAATGAACCCTGACTGAGTTTATTAAAGTCTACTAATCCTAAGAGGGAGGATCTGTGATAACGCTACTTTGTGGACCACGGATGCTCTAAATGTCTCCAAAGAAACTCTCCAGGTCAGCAACAGCCTTTCTGATTAGCTTTATATCTTAAAAACTACAAAATAATCAGTTTCTAATGAAAACTGAGAAAAACCAATATGAAAACCTTTAAGAATCTAAATAATCTGTACTTCTGAAGATCTTTTTAAATGATGACCTGAGATCTTGAACTATTTTCTTCATTACTATGATTTATTTCCATCTGCATGTAAACAGCTGAAACATGTCAAACATTTTCTCCTCTGTGGCCAAATTCCTCTGCTGTTATCACCAGTTTAACTGCCCATAATATTGATTGATAACATCCGATTGGTTCATCATCAGGCCTGCACCCTGTCATCCTGCTCTTTACCTGTGTTTGTTTTGCAAACACACTTGAATTATTTATGTCTGTGTACATCAAGGGAGGAAGAAGTATTTCCTAATCAATACAGGAAGTCTCAGGGGATCCCAGACATTAATATTCATTCCTCGACTCAGGCGGGTTAAATTTCCACATTGAATTCAAAATGTTTTAGAAACTTCTTTGTCAAAACTGAAATATAAATAAAATGATTAAACTGTAAATGTGATAAAAAGCTTCCAGAGCTTAATGTCTTCCAGAGTTGAAGACATTAAATAATATGTCTGGGTAATTTTACCAACGTCTCCAATGTCTTCTGTTGCCTGAAGCGACTTGGAGAGAAACCGAGCAGCAGCAGCAGCAGCTTAGTATCAGCAGTTTATCATCAATATTGATGTTGGACTGGCTGTAAGGTCTTCTAATGAACATTAGTGGCAGGAAGCAGTTCAGCCGGAGATGCTCTAAAAGACAGACGCGTCACTCTGAGCACTTAACACGCAGAATGGACCGTGACGGATTTAGTCCGAGTCCAAAGTGGGAAATGCATCATTTACAACTTCTCTCTGGAAAAACATGAAGGCATTCTGTTGAATGATTGGCTGCTTTCCACCTCAGCATGTTTTATGGTCAGAAAATGTGGAGGTAATCCGTGAAAAGCTGTAAGAAGCAGCATTTCTGAGAAGGAAAATGGAATTTGGCAGCAAAATTTAAGGGTTTTTTACACCTGAGAGTCGAAAAGACTCATTTTTTTAGGACCAAAACTGCAACATTTGTTACATTTTCAGCTGCCGTGGTTCACTCAGTTTCACACTGCACTGTGTCAAATGAGCCAAACCATTTGAAACACCTGTTCCTCTCCTCGCCTGTGGAGGCGCCGCAACAAGAAATGACCCAAAATTCTGAAGAAAACCTTTTTCATGAAATGTAAACTAAAATGGAGTGGCATCAGATTTTAGTGGTTGAAGGATTTCTCTTTTGTCTTTGGCAAAAGACAAAAGGTTTTTAGGCGGACAAGAGTTTGCTTTATTTGGTCCACATCAGCGTTCGATTACGCATTCACACCTCCCCAAACGAACTGGACTTTCTAGGCCAGGGGTGCCCAAGTCCAGTCCTCGAGAGCTACCATCCTGCAACTTTCAGATGCATCCCTGCTTCAACACACCTGAATCAAAGGAATGGCTCGTTATCAGGCCTCTGTAGAGCTGATCCTGGTCTGTTGGAGTAAGGATACTTCTAAAACTTGCAGGATGGTAGCTCTCGAGGACTGGACTTGGGCTCCCCTGTTCTAGGCAAACGGGCTGGTGTGATCGTAGCCTAAGAATGTTTCCACACCTGATAGTCCAGTAGATCTGGTTTCATTGGGGCCAAAATTGCAACATTTGTTACATTTTTTGCTGCTGTGGTTCTCTTTATCAAATTAATCAAACCATTTGAAAAACCTGTTCCCCTCCTCGCCTGTGGGGGCGCTGCACCAAGAACCACTGAAGAAAACGACACAAAAATCTCTGAAGAAAAGAGCGCGTGCCACTTCCTTCTTTACGAAATGTAAACATGAATGGAGTTTTGGAGCCGTCTCTGGTTCGCTTATATGTGTCGCTTATATATACATTCGAACTGGACCAGAATTCACTTCAACCAAACTGAGGCTGAGGTTTTTAGATGGACCAGAGTTCATGTTTTTGGCCCAAACGAATCAGACTTTCTAGGCAAAGGAACTAAAGTGTGATTAAAAGGGACTAACAGGGTTGGTGTGAACGCAGCCTAAATGTTTGGTTCCCATCCAGTCTTTTTTTAACACAGGATGTTCTGGTGTCCCGGCTGAATCGGCCCGGTTTGTATAACAACCCAGAGCAATCCTGTCCAGCTCATTTGAATCACAGAGTGAAAGTCGGCGCATGGAGAGACAAGGTCACTGAACAAAGCCTGGAGGGAGGGAAGGTGTGTGTGTGGCGTCTGGAGGCAGAACTATGACAGATACAGAGATGAGGAGGAGGAAGAGGAGGAAGATAAACCTGCATTAGTCTTTTGGTTTGGTTGTTCTGTCGGTTTTACATATTGTTGAGCTTCCTTTATGCTAACCGTTGACTTTGGTTGAGGGAATAACAAGTTTTATGCTCCTAAAGGGACATTTTTGCCGTCGGTCCTGCTAAATTAAATATTTCCTCCCAGCAGCTGCTGGACTCTATAACCATCACTGGTCCCAACAAACTCAAAAAGTCTTAACATCTCTGATGCCATTTGCAGTTTTTCTAATTTTAAATTCAATCCCTGCTGTCATTTGGACATTTTTGTTGTTTGCACAGTTTTATTGTCACTTTTGTTTTTCAAATAGTTGCACATTTTGTACATTTTTTAGAAATAATTTCACTCGGTTGCGCATTTCTTTGGATCGGAGTATTCTGTCTTAGTGACTGCAGAGTATTTTAGGTTGTAATTCTGCTGTTTCTGTGCAGTGTGACATTCTTCATTCTGTTTTTATATTTTATATTTTTGTCTGTGTGGCTCTACCTTGCTACTTGAGTTTCCCACCAAGAGACAAGAAATGGATTTATGTTCAATGCTGGTAGATTTTAAACTAAAAAATCTACATGACATTATTAAAAAAGTTTTTTAAAAAACTTACAGAAATATCTACTGCAGGGAAACTGTAATTTTTTTTCAAATTTCTCGTTTCAGAATGAAAAATAAACTTTTTTGCAGCTTCCAGTCTAACAGCGACTTGAAGCTGTTCATCAGTCTGGTGATGATTTGCAGATTAACATTCAGCTTTAATATTTGCTCCATTAAACCAGATATTTTGCAGCTCCTGCTCGCGGTGCGGTGGTTAACGCTGATGCTGATTGGCCGACCGAGCTGCATGTCGCTGCGTGTAATTGCTGCTCTCAGGCTGTTATTTGTAACCTGCTATTAATCGGCCAGTTAAATCCTGAGCTGAGCGACTCTTGCAGCAGAGGCAACGTCTCCGTTAAAGGAGAAAATCTGCAGAATAATGGTGGTAGAAATAGGAGCCAAGTGGTTTGCTCTTTGTTTTAATTACCTAGCTGGATTTATAATGTTAGTTTCTCTCTTTCTGCTTGGATCTTGAACGTGACGTGATGACTGATGTGTCCTTCACAGAGCAGGAGAGTTGATCTGACGTCTGCTGTCACTTTGTCTTCAATCAACTGCCTCGTGTTTCAACATGTCGGCTGATCTGTAGTTTTTCCCTATACGACAGGGATGCAAGTATTGATTAATGAGTTAATCTAAAGTTGATTAATTGATAACTTTCTTAAAAACCTGAGTTTATCAAGAGGGCCGACCATCTTTCCATAGGACAAAGAGATAAAATTTTCCACATATGCTGAATTTATTATTTATTATTTTGTGGCAGCTGTATTAAATACAGACAGAAATCGGACAGAAATTGTGGTTTTCCACATTCGTAAACTTAGACATGTTCATACATTATAATAAATTAAATAAATTAGGAACCTGTTAGGCTGCAGAAAAGAAAAATAAAAGAAGAAAGAGTAAAATATGTGAAACAGTTAATCCTTATTAACAGGCAGATATTCATACAAAAGTACTGTAGGAATACAGCATCATGTTTTTTTTTTTCTATGTAAAGTTATAATTTTTCTCTGGTATCGACATATTAGGGGCATTGAAGACGTAAGTAGAATAAATTTACATCAAAAAACAGAAATTTTGAGATTAATCTCAGAAACGAGGAAATGTATGAGCCTGAAAAGTTGAAAATTTTCTAGAAAAAAAACAAGAAAATTTTGAGATTAGTCTTGGAAGTTTTCTAGAAGAAACTTGCAAATTTCTGAGTTTCAAAACTGGAAAATTTGCCAGAAAGAAAATCTGAAATGTTGAGATTTTCAGAGGTTTACTAGAAAACACAAGAAAATTATGAGTTTGAAAAATCAAAAAGTTGCTAGAAAAAAAACCCCTGAGGAATTTTAAGATTAATCCCAGTAAATTTTCCAGATTTATTTTTTTTTAGATTAATCTGATAAAGTTTCCAGAAAACAAGGAAATTTATGAGTTCAAAAAGTTGAAAATTTGCTGAAAAAAATCTCTGAAATTTTAGGATTAATCAAAGTTTTGAGTTTCAAAACTGGAAAATTTTGGACATTTGATATTTGAATTTTTCTTTAGAAAATTTCTGAGATTAATTTCAAAATTTCTGATTTTTTGGCTTGAATTTACTCCTTTTTTTCCTATCTAATACGCCGTTGCAAACAAATGATTACTCGATTTATCTAAGCAGTAAATTTTCTCGTTTTCTCGTTGATATTTTGCTCTAAATGCGTCATCCTTATCTCCATCCCGTCCAGGCGAGTGCTACGTCTGCGCCTCAAACGAACCTTACCGGAAGGTCGACTACACCAAGATCTCCGTCCCGAGCTGGAAGCCCGGCGCCGGTTCTGGAACCGCCACGTCCGCCTCCAGCCGGACCCCGACGGCGTCCACCGGCGTGTCGACGACCGCCAGCGCCGTCGCCAAAGAGCGGCCCGAAGGTCGGGAGGGCAGGGAGAGCAAAGACTTCATCAAACCCAAACTGGTGACGGTGATCCGGAGCGGCGTGAAGCCCCGCAAGGCGGTGAGGATCCTGCTCAACAAGAAGACGGCGCACTCCTTCGAACAGGTGCTGGCCGACATTACGGAGGCCATCAAGCTGGACTCTGGGGCCGTGAAGAGGCTCTACACCCTGGACGGGAAGCAGGTGGGGCGCTTGACTTTACGGTTCCACCCAGAGATCAGGAAAGATGTTCAAATCAGCAGCTTATTTAAAACAAAGACAGTAAAATGTGTCAGTTATGAATAAAGCTACAACTACAATTAGATTTGCATACTTTTCAACAAAATGTGCAATTATTTCTCACCAAACGAGATGATGATATAATATATTTAATAATTGCATTATTTTCTTTAAAAATGCAAACATTAATCTTATGAAATGTCATAATTTGTGTCATTTTATCGTCTAACTTATTGATTTTATGGTTCTTTCACTGCGTTTCTGTTTTATTCAGGAAAACTTTAGCATTTGCAGCAGCTTGTGATTCCCATTAGGTGAAGTAGAATCGAACAAAGCCGTCTGAGTCGAGCCAGAAATCAAATTAAAGCGCATTACAGAATTACTCCTCAACAGAACCGCTAATTTACGGCTCGGGTCGTTCTGTGGCGCTCAGCAGAACTGCAGCCGTCAGCTAAAGTCCAGTTGTTGAACACTCTGATCCGCTCTGCAGCTCGTTTTGGTGCGAGGATTTAAAGTTATCGCAGGCCGACCGGCAGAGCTATTTTTGGACAGAGGCAGGTTTTTATTTGAAGTTGCAGATAAGCTGAAGGAAAGCAGAGGCAGCAGAAAACTGACTGAAGGCCGTTTGTTGTTGTGAACGCAGCTCGGATCTGAGCGAAGAAAAAACCTTTTATTGAGTCATGCAGAGATGAACACACCCTGACTGTGTCGGAGTGGATGCAGCATCCACTTAAGGATAATAAAGCAGCGTTCACTGCCTTCAAAATAAAAGCGTCCTGGGCTGCAGCCTTGAAACAGTTGTTTAATTTTAGCTTAAAAATAATTTTTGTTCACATTAAAATGTTGCGGTTGAGGTTTTATGCATGTCTATGCCGCAAAAAGTGCAAAGAAAAAGTTTTTTAGTGGTTTTCCATGTATTGAAATTTAATGGAAGAGTTCTGAAATGGAAATGTTTAATATATGCAGAGCTAAACAGGCTGATTTTAACTGAAATATAGGAACATTTAGGTAAAGTTGTTGTGAATTTATTGGGATTAAATGGGATTTAATTCATATTTTCTTTTAATTTTTGTTTTTTGTTGTAAAAAGGTTGATGCTGGATGCACAGAGACACATCTGACCTGAATTTAAATTAGTTTAATATTTCAATGCAGCTCCTAGAATTAAAAAATATGCATCTGAGGAGAAATTTAGTGTTTTAGTAAATTATTTAAAACATGGTTTAAACAGAAATACGCATTTAAAAAAATATTTTTTAATTAAAGGTTATATTTGTATTTATCTTGTATTTATGTTTCAAACATTAAGTGGCTTCATGGAGTTTGAAATCACAACATCGAACCAACATAAAGTTGTTTTTCTTGGTTTAAATAGCAAAGTTTCTTCTTTTCAAATTAAACCTTTCATCTAATTTCATAAAATATTAAAACATTTAACTATATGAGTCACATAAAACTCACAATTTTTACCATTTAAAAACATTAATTAAATTCTCTTTTTAAAGTAAAAATGCTGATTGTTTTTTTTTTTCTTTAAACTGGGACTTTTATTTTGAAGGCACTTCAGTCCCAATGAAAGCTTTTATTCTGTCGGCCTCAGCATGAATGCAGCAAGGCCAAAGTGTGTGTGTGTGTGTGTGTGTGTGTGTGTGTGTGTCCTCACGTCTCAGCTTGCTTGGAGAGAAACGCCATCTCTCACCCTGCATTGTGGTCTCCATGGCAACCGGCTCGCCAAGGAACCGGCACGTGGAAAGTTGTCGAGGATCCAGTTCCGGAATCGTTAGGAGTCGCCGTTGCCATGGAAACAGAATAGCATTAGCATGAGTTCGTAGCGCAGAATCAATTCAATTCAATTGAAAGTACTTTATTGATCCAAAGGGAAAATGAAAACGATCAGCACCAAACATGGGAACCTGAACCTCTGCTGTGTAAAATGAGCTTTTACAGAAAGTGAAGGTTTTTCAGAGTTCAGCAGAGACAAATATAATCCTTCATTTCTCTGGAGAGCCTCAACATTCACCGTTTTCTCTCTGCTTACACCTGGACACCTTCCTGTTAAGCCACTTAATTCTGACTTATGGACCTTTCAGACAGAAAAGCTCCTGAACTCAGGGGACGAACCCAGTTAGCCAGGAGCTAACTGTTTAATACATCATTTAATGTCATAATTTCAATAATATAGCTCATAATGAATCACATTTTTAATTAGCAAAATGAAATACTCAAATATGTTCACATTTTTAGGCCAAATTTGGTTTAAGTTGAGGTGATTTTGTTAGTTATTGAACCATAGATTAGCATTATTTTCATTATGTTTGGTTTAGTTTGAAGAGTAGCATGTAGAAGTATGAACTTAATTTTACACCCAATCCAATAAATCACTATTCATGTTAACTTTGTTTTAACACTTAATCTATTTTATTTTTGGTTTTGGTTGATATTTTATTTTATTCATTATTATTAGTTTTATTTTGGACATTTAAAATGTCTTCCAGTTCCAGTCTTTAGTGTTCTGTACAAAATTAAACAAAGTTACTAAATATTATATTTTATCGGAGTAAATCCTGACAGTTTATCTCAGGACCTGGTGTGAACTTTGCTGCAGCTTCCCTCCGTTTAATCCCTCCTTTCATACCTCTGCTGATCCCTCTTTTCTTCACCTCTCCTCTCTCTCTCCGTTTCTCCGTCTGCATAGATCCGTGTTGATGAACACTTTGTCTGTAATCCTCAAGGCCGTTGTTTGTTTCTTGTCTGTCAGAAGCTGCTGAAGAGCTGCAGACATGATTTAAATATTCCCATCTGTCCTCCGCTCAGAAAAGAAATCCCTCAGTCACTGAATCTAACTGTGTGTGTGTGTGTGTGTGTGTGTGTGTGTGCAGCTGACCTGTCTGCAGGATTTCTTCGGGGATGACGATGTGTTCATGGCGTGCGGGCCAGAGAAGTTTCGTTACGCGCAGGACGACTTTGTTCTGACGCATTCTGGGAAAACAGCGGCCTTCGTGAGCGGTGAGCATCAGAAACACAAACTCAAGGCTGAATTTTTTCCTCCAAAATCTGATGAAATATTCTGGATATCTAGAATATTTTTGGCCCTCAGTGTTATAAAACACAAGGTTATTTTACAGTGTTGCACATCAGAGTGAACATGGAGCTTAAAACACATGAAAGGTTTCTTAAAGGTGACGTTTTATGCTTCGTTGAACAGGTTAGGATAGGTTTATGGCCTACACAAAACAAGAAAATAAAATTTTTTGCACAAACTCATTCTCATTCATTTGTTTTAAGGCCTCCTGTCATTTTAAATCCAAATAATCTGCTGCAGGCCAACTCAACGTTTACACTCACACCTTAAAATAGCTGCAAACAGGCACAATTATACAATTGTACAGCTTTGAAAAGCAGAAATGGAGCTTCCTTTACAATCATGATCAGTTTCGGCTGATCCATCCTAAGTTTAGAAAATCATGGCTGATTTATCGGTGAATCTCTCCTGGTTTTACAGCAGCTCCTATTGAAAATCAACAAAACCTGAAGAGTTTCTACATGAAAATTTAAAACCTACTTTTGATAGAAACATGAAACATATACAAAAGTAACCAACTTTACCGTCCATCTGTCCATTTGTCCGTCTGTCCGTCTCCAGAGTGCAGGACCAAGACGCCTCGTCCAGCTGCTCCTCAGAAAACCCCCAAAACTCCCAGCAGCTCCGGCTTCTCCTCCTCCAGGACTCCACCCAAAGGTTTATCCAGGACCAAGTCGCCGGGCTCAGGTGGGGAACCAGGACGGTTACCATGGAGACACAGGTTTAAGAACCAGTTTAGGAGATTATTGGTTTAAGAGCAACATCCAACCAACCATCCAACCAACCATTGAGTTGTATATTTTGGGCATACTGATACGTTTAGAAAGTTTGAAGTTGATTAAATGTTTTCTTTCAGTTGTTTTATGGATCTTAAAACGACTCGGTGACTTTAAACATACGAACACGTTTTAACCAATCAGATCGCTCTTTTCTCCGTCATGCAGCCAATGAGGTGTCAGGATCCCAGTCAGCTATAAAGTCCAACAGGTCCAGTCCGTCTCCCACCAGTCCTGGGACACGACGCAACTTAAAGGTCAGAGGGACGATTTATGTTTCAAAACTAGTTTCCTCTCAGATTGTTTTCCTGGAAAAACTGAATTAAATCAGTTTAATTCAAATTAAACTGATTTAAATTAAGTTGACAAACCTGAAAGAGTTTAGTGTTGAACTGTTTCTGCAGCAGAAACTTGGAAGAAAATCTCTTCCATATTCAGAATAAGGAAGGTCAGATTCTGTTTCTTCTGCTGCTAAAGTAAAAAGAGATGAGCAGAGTTTGCCCCCTGGTGGCTGCAGGAAGCTACTGCAGTTCTCCTACATAAGAGTGATTCTTTCTTCTGTCCTGTTTCCTTTAAAAGTTTATCACCTTTATTTTGCATCAAATTACAAACACTATGAAGCATTAAGAAAAATGACTAAAACCTCATCACATAGACAACAAAAATAATGATAAAAATCAGGTAAAAGGCCCAAATTTTCATTGTTTTGAAGTTATAAATGGCTTTGAAAAAGGAAGCAGCTCATAAATGTGGATCTTTCTCAACAAATATATTTACATTTACTCAAAAAAAGCTATTAAAATCTAAAAACATCTTCTCAGTTTATAATTCAGATTTCCTACAGTACTACCTCGGATCTGACCTGGTTTTATTCCCTAACATCTGTTGTCTTACTGTCAGATCTTGCCTCGCCGTGCGTCTTCCACGGATGTGAACGGGGAAGCCGAGCAGCCGGACGACGACGCAGAGGAAGGTTTGTGCTTCCATTGTGGTAAAAATGAAATTTAATGAAGATTTTTGAGTTGTTTCTTAAAAACATGACAGTTTTTAGCCTTTATTATTAGAAAAATCCACTGAAGATCCAGGAAATGTTTGAGATGAAGCATCGCAGATGAAGACGAAGCAGCAGATTGAGTTTAGCTTTTTTAGTGCTTCTTATTATTCATAAAATAATTATTTTTTTCTTTCAGTGAACGGAAACCGATCCGTTTCGTCCTCCACCATCAACGAGAAGTACAAGGTGGGAAAAGTGATCGGAGACGGAAACTTTGCCGTGGTGAAGGAGTGTGTGGAGAGGTAAACCTCACTTTAAACGCTATGGAAGTAGTTAGATGATTTTCATGTTTTTAAATTAAAAGACTAATTGGATAAATACAAAAATAATCATTTTAAGAATCCTTTGTTGCACATTTGTAATTAAATAAGTAATTTAGTACAAAAAAGGCCATTTAGAGCAGTAATTCAGCCAAAACTATAGAAAAGAAAAATATTTTTATTTCAGATAAAAAAATCCTTTGTAAATTTTCAATTGTTGTAAAAAACAAACAAACTTATCACCTTTTTTTATCCAGTCATTAGTTGATTGATCCACAGATTGATCACCAGATCAGTTTTACTTTATTGATGTTAAACAGAAAAATACATAATTATTATTTTATCAGCTGCAGTTTCCTACAAATAATGAAGCCTTCACTAAAGGAATACTGTCTTTGCATTTTAGTTTATTTAATGTCCATTTTATTATTTAAAAACGAACTAAATTATTTTATGTGCATTCCTAATAACAAGGCTTAAATGAAAAATCTACAACCGAATAATCAATAAATCATCAGAATAATTGAACTAAAATAATCTGTCAGTTTTAATCCATTTTCTCTGCCAAATATTTTAATTAAAACTCATTTAATCTGCTTAAACTCAGGATTCGCTGATTGACAAGAGTAAAATGATTGATCAGCTGGAGGTTTTAACTCTTCCTGCTCGTTTCTTTCCGCAGGTCGACGGGACAGGAGTTCGCTCTGAAGATCATCGATAAAGCTCGATGCTGCGGGAAGGTAGCTGCTGCTTCCAGCTCTCACTCTGCAAAAAACAGTTTTATCATCGCTCTTCTGCAACAATCCAAACTAATAACAAACTGAATTCTCATAAAACTAACAAGCTGCTTAAAAACATCAGTTTGTGTTTAACTTTTTTATCTGGTTTAGCAGAATAAAATGTTTTCTGGGTAAAACGTTTCTCTAACAGGAACACCTGATAGAGAACGAGGTGGCGGTTCTGAGGCGGGTCCGACATCCCAGCATCATCCAGCTGATCGAGGTGGACGAGACGCCAACGCAGCTCTTCCTGGTCATGGAGCTCGTTAAGGTCCTCTGATTGACCTCTGACCTTTGACCCTGAAGCCACCAATATCAGACCTTTAAATGAGAAAAAAAGTCGTTTCATGTTCAGATTTTTTTAGCGTTACTGTTTTTTTTGTTTTTTCTATCAGAAACTAAAACAATATTGATAATATTAGGCTTAGATTTTTAAAAAATCATATTTCTCAAAATTTTTTGGCACATTTCTGTATTTTTGTCTGTTTCATGCATTTTCCAGGATCAGATCTTATACTGTTAATACATTTTTTAAATCCAAAACTAAATAAACTGATAATATTAAGCTTAGATTAAACAAATAAGAAATTTCTCAATGTGTTATTAATTGTTTTTTTCATTGTTTAATCATTAAATGAATAAATAAAAGCTCCATTCTCCACGTTTAACTGGTTCCTTCAGGGCGGCGATCTTTTCGACGCCATCACCTCGTCCACCAAGTACAGCGAGCGAGACGCCAGCGCCATGGTGTTCAACCTGGCCGGAGCCATCAAGTATCTGCACCGGATGAACATCGTGCACCGAGACATCAAACCAGAGAACCTGCTGGTGCGAAGCGCATCATCTTCTGCTTTAACCTGAGCTCTGCGGCGCTCAGTTCTGCTTTCGTTCTGCAGGTGTGCGAGTATCCGGACGGCACCAAGTCCCTGAAGTTGGGGGATTTCGGTCTGGCCACGGTGGTGGAGGGTCCGCTGTACACCGTCTGCGGCACGCCGACGTACGTGGCGCCGGAGATCATCGCCGAGACCGGGTGAGAGACGGGAAGTAAAACACAACAGCCAGTTCCTCCAGTGTTCCTTTGAATTTCCCAGATCATTTTCTTTCCATTCGTTAATTGATGAAATTCTTTATCTATCCATTTTTTGGCTCTGGGTGGTTGATTTTAGTTTATACAAAGAGATCCAACAATCGTTTCTAAAGCTGCTAAATGAAATAGTTTTATTATTTTTCATTGGTTTTTAACAAACCTATTTAAGCTAAAAGTTCAGATTTACAGAGACTAAAAATGAAATAATATTTTTTTAAACCTACTGAAAAACATGGATGGTTCTTTCTTTTTTTCCTTTATAAATTTATTTATTTGCTTCTGGATGTTTTTATTATGCGACAGAAATGATAAAGATTCTTTAGATCTCCCGTCTTGTTAATCAAAAGAAAAATGTCTTAAATGTGCAATAAATACTTTTCATAGTGATAACATCTTGTCTTTGTGAAGATTTTATTTGGATTTAATCTACTCTAAAGTTATGCAAGTCACACATTTTTATTGGATTTCTTCTTGATCTTTGTGTTTTGCTAGATTGTTTATTTTCCATATTTTTGTGAGTAAATCATCCCATTGGTTCATAAACAGCCAGTAATGTTGATGTTTTCTTCTAGTTATGGTCTGAAGGTCGACATCTGGGCGGCTGGAGTCATCGCCTACATCCTGCTCTGTGGATTCCCACCTTTCAGAAGGTCAGTAAACGCAACGTTTTACTTTATCCAGGAAATTATTAATAAATGTTTTTATTCACATCATCCTGTGTTGGTTTCATGTTACTATGAATGTTTCCTATTTTATGTTTGAGTTGGTGGGAAAAACTGGAATATTTGTCATTTTTTCAACAGATTCAATACAAATTTGCATATTTTTGTAACTTTAACTACAGTGTGTTTTATTTGTGTCTGTACTAACAGAAATCTGCTTTACGTCCCGCAGTGAGAATAACGTCCAGGAGGAACTGTTTGATCAGATCCTCAGAGGGAAGCTGGAGTTTCCATCTCCAGACTGGGACAACATCAGCCTATCAGCAAAGGTTCGGCTCAGTTTAGGAAAAATAAACGTCAGATATCAACCTGTTAAAGTAAACCAAGGTTACAGCTTATCAATAACCCAATAACAGGGATAAAAATCATTGTTTGTTCTTTGAAATGACCATAAATTCAGTCAAAATCTCTGTACATTAATATCTTGTTGAGAAAAAAAGAACTGAAATCAAATGATTGTCTGTTTTAGTTTGTTTTAGACTAAAACTTGGTCATTCGGAGCAGAAAATGGCAACAAAACTAATCAGAAATCAAAGTGAAGCTAAAAGAAACAATCTAAATCCCATTCTGACGTCTGTAGATGTTATTACATCTCGTATCAGACCAGTGTTTTACTGCTGACACTCCTCAGATGCTGATCAGTCAGATGCTGCAGGTGAACGTCGACGCTCGGTTCACTGCAGAGGAAGTCCTCTCCCACCCCTGGGTGACGGTAAGCAGCATGAAAATGAACGTTTTTCCACTCGGCTGCAGCGATTCGGTTCTTACCGTGTAGAAATGTGTTTATGATGGTGGTAAAGTTGCTGTTTTTGTAGGACGAGGCGCCGGGAGAGTCCAACGCTGTGAGCGGCCCTGAAGATCACGGCAGCGAAGACGCGCACGAGTCGGATCGCGAGTCTCCGATTCTGGAGACGAAACAAGTTCCCTCACCGCTGGTTTAGGCCGCATCCCAGACCCACTGGTCTGAGGGAACCAGCACGATCCAGTCTGGAGAGGCTTCACCAACTGGGAGCCAAATAATCTTCCTAAAGTCTCCATTTGCCTGCAACCGGCTCCCTTTCATTTCTAGGAAAGTAAAACTTTAAAATATAGACAGATGAAATTAAACATTCTCAAATACATTTTTGCTGCTCAACTAGTGACTGAATTACACACAAAGTGAAGTTTTCCCAACGTCATCTTAGGGACCAGGTGACGTTTCATTTGAAACCAAACTGTCCAGTAGCTGCGTTTCCATTTCATGTCTGTGCAAAACTGTTGGTATCCCATTAATGTTGGGGAAAAAAAGGTTTTTATTGAAAATTTTGCCATGTTTCCTGAAAAAAGATGACTTGCATAACTGAAAAGATTTGATCAGTGGAAACGCAGCTACTGACAGGCATCCTTACAGATTTATTCACCACATCTGCAGGATTTTCCCTCAGATCTGGTCAGAAATGTTAAATAAGTTTGAGAAATTTGCCTTTGCTCTCAAAAACTGAACAAAGCCCACTATCTCAGTTTGGACATTTGATTCTGGTTCCTGTTTCCATGGAAACTCAATCACTAATCGTATATCTAGTTTCTTTTCCCTAAATCAGGTTTATTATAGTTCATGTTTAAGTTTGCAGAAATTGGGTAAACAAAATAGCCTTAAATCTATTTTAATTTCCAGCAAACCAAACGAGTTTGCACAATTTAAAATGAACCCAAAGTTTATTTCCTCCCCTTCTCTGGTCTTCTGACATGGACTGAGTTTCCTGGTTATTTACCCCAGACCAGTCTCTCCAGTATTAAATCCAGTTTGTCTCCTGGTAACCGTCCAGAGCGCGTGCCAATTGATCCTCAGAAGGTTTTGCACACGGTCCGGTTCTGATCCGTTAAAACAGGCGCCGCTGCTGCCTGCAGGACGTCCATGAACACACGACGCCTCTGAACGGACCAAAGTTTCCTGGTTAAACGCTGTGATCTGGAGTGAACTTTAAACGGACCTTACTGATTTTACGGCTCTAACCTTCTCTGAAGTTCCTGCCAAGCCAGGATGTCTTCCATTTATCTGAAAATATGTCCAACTTTTGTCTCTCCTTCCCTGGAGAAGACTCACGTTGTCGTCTTCTTCTACTTGTATCAACCTGTTGAGGAGATATTTGAGCACTGTGCCTGTCTGCGCTGCTGATCCAGTCGTTTTTTTGTTTTGTTTTTGTTTTTTTACCAGAATATTCCCATCTTTATAAAAATAATGCAGAATCTTTGGAAATATTCGTCCAGAAGGAACAATTTTTTAATATATTTTGTCTGGTTATAAACTGAAGTTTGAGTTGATTGGAAGAATCTTGGAAAAATGAAGGCAGCAAATCTGAATTTTGGCTTTTAATTAAGATATAATGAGCAAGAAAAAAAAGTCGGAGCTCAAAACACATCTGTTGAACTGAATCCCTTTTCCTATTCATCATATCCAGGCTGCACTGCAAAAACACTAAATATTACCAAGTATTTTGGTTCCAGTTTCTTGTACAAATGTCTTAGTACACCTGAAATAAGACGATTTCTGTAAATATTAGGAGCTTGGTTTTAAATAAAATGCTTAAAAGCCAGCAGAGCCTGTTCTTCTCCACCTTGCTGGATTTAAAGCCAAATTTTATAATTTAAACTACAGAGACAATAAANTACGTTTGTTAGTAATAATTCTGAATACTGTTAGAAAATATGAAAAAATATTGACATTTTAGTCTGGAAAAGAGATTTGATCTGACCTTTGGAAATGGGATTCAGCCTCAGTCATCCTGTTTTCTGCTTCTTCAGACCTTCACCTACTTTAAAACGTTTTGTTTTATATTCAACTGACTGACGTCCATTTTTATCACCTGAACTGTTCAAGCATCGCTTCAAAGATGCATTTGGACTGAACTTAAGGGCACACCAAACGATGAGCTCTTTGCTTCTCCTCACTTTATATCATTTTAGATAAAAGGGTAAGTCTGTAAATACTGTAGATACCGTTCTGTCCGTCAGTGTCTGTGTGAGTCTGTTGTGAAGTAGGAAAACAGTAGCAGATTGAAGAATAAGTAGTGTTACAAATGAAAAGAACAATCTCATCATCAACGCCTCAAAAAAAAATCCTACCTAAAGAAAATGATTTTTCACATAACTAATAAACCATTTTGGCATTTAAAATGTAATTTCAGTATTTAGATAGTTAAAAAAACTGATATTTGGGATTCAGGGTTTCTGGTGATGACCTGTGAGGAAAGGTAGCAAACATCAATGAATCTCTTTCTTTTCTATAATCATGTTACATCCAACTAACGTTTGTCTCCATTTGCACTTTCCATGAAATTGTCTGTCCAAAGCTGCGTGTCTGTTTGATGTTTTCGCTTTTGGGAAAGAGGAACTTCTGAGATGGGTGTTTGCATCAATGGGGAAGCAGTTCCCGTCCATAAAACTTGAAAAGAAAGTGTCTGAATAAACGCACTGACCTGATGCAGTGATGCAACCTTTCCATGGCCTTGACCTTTGGTTGGAGTCGCTCACTCAGAGTTTGGCTGGAGGCTCTCCTGAATCTACAAACATTCAAATTCATCGAAATCGTTAAAATTCAGCCATTCTTGGGCTGATTTTGACACATAAAAAGCCTCCGTCACTGGGCTTCAATTGAAGTAAAGATTTGGAAGAAACTGGGCTTTAACTGAACAATTTAGGCTGAATTATTATACAATGGGAAGCAGCTAAACATTACATGAACTAGTCCAGTGGTATCCAATTGATTCACCAAAAATGGCAAATTTAAGCTACTGGCAGGCCTCAAAATTCATTAATTTAAAATGCAAAAATTGTGATTTTTATTTATTATTTTATTTTTTAAGTTTTACCTTCTTAAAACATTTGTATGGACTGTACATCATTAAAGATCCAAACCATAAACAGGGCTTTGGAGTGCTGCCTTTTAACAGAAACATAACATTTTCAAATTCTTATTTTCTCTGTTTGTTGGCCTAGTTTTTGCCACGTCTGACTTGTGATCAGAGGCTGAACAGCATCATTTCTAGGGCCAAAAATGGCCCCCGATCCACACTTTGGACACCCCTGTTTTACACAACTCCTAATAATGGCCAAAGAGATTTGAATCAGGTGCATCAAGGCACAAATGTAAATAAAATTAAAAAAAACAAAATCTGATTTTTGCTGATGGAAACAGATTTTTAGCTGCATTTAGTTGTCTGCAGTCAAATGTTTTAGTTTCTTAAATGTATTCAGTCAGAAACGTGTATCTGAAGTTGGGGAGTAAAAGTTTCGGATGAGCTCAGACTGTTATCATCCGTCCTTCACCACTCTGCTTATCACTGGGGTGTAAAATTGCGTAAACTTTTGTTATTGAGTTTCTAACAAGCCCGTCTTTCTGAGCTGCTGTCACCTGGGAGAAAAACTTCAGCCAAACTCTGGATTGGCGCCTCGACCTTTGACCTTCTATGCCTGCTATGAACCCAGTGGTCTTAATTCTTTTCTCTTTGCTTTATACCAAACCAAGAGGAGCCTTCAGTTGTTGTTGTTTGTCCTGCTGACGCCCGAGTCAAAACTGAGAGGAAAACTATTCAGTTCATCAGAATCTTTGATAAAATGTTTTACTTTTTCAAACTCTTTGTAAAAAAAAAAAAAAAGTGTTTTCCCAAATTTATTTACTTTTGCAGATAAACTCTCAAGTAGAAAACTGAAAACTTAAAAAAGAAAACATGAATCCAGAACTGAAAGAAAATAAAGTATTAGGGCCTTGTTAAGAAAATAAAATAATGAAATTGTGAGAATAAAGTCAGAATAATATGAGAGTAAAGTTGTGGTGTTACCACAAAAAGTCATATTACAACTTTATTTTTGAAATATTATATCTCATATAACTATTCTCATGTGACTTTATGCTCGTAATTTTATTGCTATATTCTCATATTTTTATGACTTTATTCTCATATGACTTTATTCTCATAATTAAATTTTTTACTTTTTCTTAGTGCAGCCCTAATACTTAATGGTTAAAGTATGTATGCAGCAATGGTTAATATTATCTGCATTTATATTTTAGTTTGCAGTAAATAGTTTATTTTTTTGTTTTTGCTACTGATTTTCTGTCTCCCTGACAGGTAACCAAAAGTAGAGAAGCAACTCTCTGGTCCTTCTGGTTGTAAACTGTAAACTTCCCATTGAAACGTTGAGGCCGGTTCTCTTTAAATCACAGATAAAGCTTTATTGACATGCAGTGTTCATGTTTTATTGAATGTTGGATTGTGCAACGCGGAGATCGAAGATAAGATGTAGCTGAACTGAATTTTTCCAAGCAGATTGACTCAGGTGGCTTTACTTACTGGGCCCTGTTTGTTTGTTTGTTTGTTTGTGTGTGTGTGTGTGTGTGTGTGTGCGCATGTGTGTGTGTTTACATCACTTCAAGCCTCATTATTATTGATTGAAACTGAATTTCATTTGCATGAAGTGACAAAAATCCAAATTTTGAAGGAAATTGGTCTAATTTTTCAAAAAAGCAGAGACTGAGCTTCATGTTCATTTAACTCAGCTACAACATGGTAATAACTGAAATATATACAGTAGATAAATTTGGGTAAAACATTTTCTTCCTGAGATGCCTTTGATAAAATGAGTCAAGTTTTGACATGAAGGAACCGTGGGAACAGCAGTGTTTTCTAATGACATGTTTTAATCTCAATAAGCTGTAATGTTTATGTGTGTTGAGGTGAAAACATGTATGTTTGCTGGGATCTGGGTGGAAATGATGAATCCCTTATTTGTGTTGAGAAAAGATGAATTAAACTGTGAAATAAAAGTCTTGCTGACACAGCTGTATACTGTTGTGTTTTTAAATATAAAAACATCCTGCAGCTGTGACATCTTTTAGCATCAGCTTCCTACAGAGAGGGGAAAACACCTTAAAGGTGCACTTCCTCATGTTTAGGAGACATCTGCGGATTTACTGTGGGCATTGAAAGCTGGACAGACAAAAATAAATCATTAAACATTTCCACCTTTAATGTGACCTACTTCCTGCATCTGTTGATAAAAACAAGTCAGTCACCTGGTTGAATTTAAGAGTTTGCTGAATCACATTTTGATTCTGCTTGGGTTCATGCCTGCAATCACTTACTTTGTAGTAAATTTTTTTAAAGTCTTTTGACATTTGCAGCATTTACACTGCAAAAACACAAAATCTTACCAAGTATTTTTGGTCTAGTTTCTAGTGTAAATATCTTGGTGAATTTGAAAAAATAACTTTTCAGCAAGAATAGAAGCTTGTTTTAAGTAAATAATTCCTTAATATTGAAAAGGTACTTGTTCCATTGGCAGATTATAATGACATACCAAAAGAACTAGTACTTTTTCATCTATATTGCATTTTTGCAGTGTAGCTAGTCATAGCTATTAAGGATCTCGCTGTACAAAAGTGTAATTCAAAAGAAAGTGTACAAAATAATGCATAAAATGCTGAAGAGTCTGGAACTAGGTCCAGTGTTAGTCCAGTGGAAGTCTGTTTTCATCCAAGCTCTTCAAAGAAAGTGTATTTAAAGTAATGCATAAGACAGGCATCTGTGTCCAGTGTCAGTCCAGTGGAAGTCTGTTTTCATCCAAGCTCTTTTGTTCTATACATGCAGGTGCTTCACTTGTGCTGGGGGGGATTACAGAAATTGTGATCATGTAGGATTATCAGCTAGAAATAGGAGCTTGTTTTAAGTCAATAATTATTTAATGATGAAAAAGTACTAGTTCCAATGGCAGATAATTTCACACATGATGAGACATTTTCCGATAAATAAAATAATCTCCCGATGGTACAAGGACTTTTTCTTCAATATTAAGGAATTATTGACTTAAAATAAGCTTATATGTCTTGCTGAAAAGTTACTTGTAAGTTAGTTTTGTCTTATTTCAAGTGAACTATGAAATTTGTATTAGAAACTAGAGTAAAACAAAATATCTCCTTTATTTTAACAAAGATTTGACGTTGAAGCATAGATTGTAAGATTTCATTGGTATAAGTTGCCAAAATCTTAAAAATGTTTCTGTTTAGTTCAGTTCATATTTTGAGGACAATAAATTGCAGAATACCCAAGTATCTAAGATTATAACTTCCATCTATTCTCATTAAGAGGCAAGACAGATGATGAGTAGTACCCAAAATAATTTTTAAAATAAACTCAGAGCAGTACCTTATTTTCTTTTTCTAATCTCATCAACTCATGAATCCAAACACATACACACTCATTCTGGTTTTATAAGTAAATGTGCAAGTCCTCTTAAGTTAATGTCTTCATTGTTTTTAAGCAATAGTAGCTGTCAAAATTGCACTTTTTATCATGCTTTCTTTAAACTAAATGAATTGGAACAAATCTTGAGCCTGAAAAATTTTGTTTTTTTTTTCAGTCTGTTTTACATCCTTGACTGGAACCACTAAAGATTTGGTGAAATTAAATTTCTCTTTTTTGGTTTAGAGGAGACATCTGTTTTTTTCATAGAAGTGTTTTCTTCATCACATTTGTCACATGATCCAAGTTATACTTTTGCAGGTTTATAAGTGGTCAAAACATGCTGTAAATGTTCAAAGGGCATGTTTGCTATGTACTCATAAATACTGATACCTGATAACATAATTATAAATCCTTGCAATGGTTCCTCCCTTCTAAAAAGAAGGTTAACAGATTCACAGAGCTGCACAGCAGAACTTGAAAAGCCCCAGGACTGAATGTTTCTATTTTTTGAAGGAGAACGTTGTGTTTTTCTGCATGCAGGTGGCTTTATGTGCAGTAGAGGCAAATAATGTTTTAACAAACTTTTGTTGAAGTGGGATATGGCACAGAAAGGAGTTCAGATGGATTCTCAAGTCTCCTGTTGCATCTGCCTGGATCTACTGAAGGATCCAGTGACTATTCCCTGTGGACACAGCTACTGCATGAACTGTATTAAAGACTTATGGGACAGAAAAGATCAGAAGGGAATCTACAGCTGCCTTCATTGCAAGAAAACTTTTACACTGAGGCCTGCCTTGAAGAAAAACACCATGCCAGAAAAGTTGGTGGAGGATACAAAGAAGACTGAACTCAAAGATGCTCCAGCTGATCGCTGCTTTCCTGGACATGAAGACGTGACCTGTGACATTTGCACTGGAAAGAAGATGAAAGCTGTAAAGTCCTGTCTGGTTTGTTTGGTTTCTTACTGTGAAAATCACCTCCAACCTCACTATGATGTTGCTCAATTTAAGAAACACAAGCTGGTGAATCCGTCCAAGAAACTTGAGGAACACATCTGCTCCCATCATGATGAGGTGATGAAGATCTTCTGTCGTACTGATCAGAAGTGTATCTGTTATCTCTGCTTAATGGATGAACACAAAGGCCATGAAACAGTCCAAGTTGCAGCAGGAAGAGCTGAGAAGCAGAAGGAACTTGAGGCAAAGCGAAGGAAAGTCCAGCAGAGAATCCAGGACCAAGAGAAAGATGTGAAGCTGCTTCAACAGGAGGTGGAGGCCATCAATGTCTCTGCTGATAAAACAGTGGAGGACAGTGAGAAGATCTTCACCCAGCTGATCCGTCTCCTCCAGAAAAGAAGCTCTGAGGTGAAGCAGCAGATCAGATCCCAGCAGGAAACTGAAGTGAGTCGAGTCAAAGATGTTGAGGAGAAGCTGGAGCAGGAGATCACTGAGCTGAAGAGGAAAGACGCTGAGCTGGAGCAGCTCTCACACACAGAGGATCACAACCAGTTTCTCCACAAGTACCCCTCACTGCCAGCACTCAGGGAGTCGACACACTCATCCAGCATCAACATCCGTCCTCTGAGACACTTTGAGGACGTGAGGAAAGCTGTGTCAGATGCAAAACACGATCTAGAAAACCTACTGACAGAGATAAAATCAAACATCTCACTGACAGTGAGTAAAGTTGATGTTTTACTGCCAGAACCAGAACCAAAAACCAGAGCTGACTTTCTAAAACACTCACAAGAAATCACTCTGGATCCAAACACAGCAAACAAATTTCTGTTGTTATCAGATAGAAACAGAAAAGTAACATTAATGAAGCAACAGCAGCCTTATGAAGATCATCCAGAAAGATTCACTTATTTTTGTGAAGTCCTGAGCAGAGAGAGTCTGACTGGACA